ATATTATATTATTATATTATTTATATTATAATATGTAGTATTTAACCTTACGAGTAAAAAACAAAAAATACTGAATACCAAGTGAAAAGTTATTAAATTATATACGGAATAAATCAGAAACCTAATAATTACGATTAATTAAAAGAGATATTCTAAACTTCCAGTTTATTATTATTCTTTTAAAACTTCTCTTGTTAGTATTCGCTAAAAAAAAAAAAAAAAAAAATAGCTATAAGTTTATAAATACCTATATAGGAGAAAATTTGAGAAAAAGGAGTGAATAAAAAATTTACCACAATCACCTTAAACAACTTCTCTTTAAACGACATTACAATTTTTAATTAAATCGTTTACAGAATGATTTAAGCAAATCCATCTTATCTATACGTTCCTTCACATGAAAATGTTTTCTACTTGTATAATTAATCAATTCGAAATTGTAATTAAAATTTGTCGATCGTTTGTTAAAATTAAAAGCTATTCATTTACATTATATATTTCATACATATGTATACGTACACGAATGTACAATTGCAAAACAATTTGCACTACTATTCACGTTGGTACATGGTACGGCAGTTCGTACAATTAATGGGACTTGCGCGAATGTCCAGTATAATTAGAATATTGCGAAACGCATTGAAAACCAAAAATAGAGAGGCTGAAACAGCTGGAGCAGGAGCTTTTGTTCGGCTCGCACCATTCGCTCGGAGAATTTCCAAAGGATACAAAAAGAATAAAGTTTTACGCTTATCCGCATAAGAAACGTGGAACAAGGACCGGTATAATGAGCCGGAGTATACGGAGTTTTGTGTGGTCTACGAATGTTGCTAAGTAAGGGATTGATTCACGGGCAGCTATAATACCACCAAACCAAAGCCCTAATAGATTCAGGTCAATGCCACTACCGTTCTTCGAAGTCGTTCATTATGTGAGAAGAGAAGGCCCCGTTCTCATGCCACACAGGTTGTAATACCTGCGCGGCAGGCTGGACCAAGAGCATTCGCAACAAAACGCGTAGACACACTCCACTCTGTTCAATCTATCTAATCGAAACGTGTTTTCAAACAATACCGTTTAAACCATCCCGTCACTCAGCTAAATGACGCATTGCAATGAATATAAAATCGGTACAAACACACACCGATGGTTAATTCCGAGGAACCTATTGATAATAAAGGATTTTCGTCGAATTCTCTAATTAAATACCTAATTTACCAAATGCAGGTGTGACAATTATTTCCAAAAGTGTGCTCAGAATTTCCTAACACTTCTGTGCTTCATTCTTTCATTTTTTTAAAGTAGTTCTCGAAACGAGAATACGCTCGTCTCGTCCTTTTTATTAACTCATTCTTCCGCTCTTATCTGTTAGCTGTTCGCTTTCGTACTTTACGTACGCTGTGCGTTCTTATTGTTCGTTCGTATTGCGCTCGCTGAAAATGACACGACTTTGCTTCAACGATCGTAATCGTTCTCGGCGGAGGTTCTTATCGAGGCGAAAAGGACGAAGCTGAGTAATCGCAAAGGGAAACGCGAGTATTATTGAACGAGAACTTGAGGAAGAAGAACGAAGGAGAGAGAAAGAAAATGAGAGATAGGGGGGACACAGAGAAA